AATGACATGTAGATAGCCATTTAGGATTGAAATGTAAATGCCTCTAAGTCAAAAGCACAGTGAGATCTAATGCAAGCCTCTTTCAGTGTGAAATATCAGCTTTGAGAGTTTGGATATTGCAGGTGGCGCTTTTTAATTTCAGGAAAGGCGAAAAAGGCTTTTTCCCTTTTGAAATGCAACCTGCTGTTTAGCAATTGGGGATGAATACGACATCAACATCTCAGTTTTGTTCACATGTGAGACATTGCCTCACAGTGCGCCACAAGCTGTTGCCTGGAGACAGCAGTTGGCCCTTCGTCATCTTGCCGTCTAATCCGTTCGGCGGGGCGCAGAGGGGTCCATTTCAGGACATGAAACACCTCCTACTGTACTCCTCACATGTAAGCCTCAGGATGATTTGGCTTTGTGAAGGAATAACTAAGCCGAAACAACAGTATCTGCAGGTGCTTTGAAAGCAGTGAGAATAAGGCATCCCATAGTATTTTGCTGTGCTATGATAATACAGCATATTTATTATTATTAATATATTTTTTTTTTTTGTAAAACGTTGTACCGCCATCCAGTGGTCAAGTAATAAAGTGCATGTCCTGCTGCTAAATTTAAGATTTATGTATTTGTACTGGATATAAAATGTAAGTTTAAGTCAGTTTAAACAATGACACACTAATAAACTTAATGTGGTGCATATTTGTCATTCATACTTAAATTAAATATTTATGCAGTGCTACAAATAAACTGAATGTTTGTAAGCTAAACTAAGCAATTTGAATGCATTTTGAAAATGTGATAAATTATTTAAATAAAACTTAAGTTTTTTTTTTTAATCTTTTTTTAATTAATTTATTTTTTTTTAAATACAGAAATCTTTCCTGTTTCTTACCTGTGTGCCTATTTCATTTATATGACTGACAAATATGCATAACAGTAAGTTTATTAGTTTATGTTAAAACTATGTACTTCAAATGGGCCAAACTTAACTTATCTGTATTTTTTTTAGTGTACTTCAGATGTTTCAGTTTTTAGTTTTTTTTGGGACATTTGTGACCCTGGAGCACAAAAGCAGTCTTAAGTCGCTGGGGTATATTTGTAGCAATAGCCAAAAATACATTGTATGGGTCAAAATTATTAATTTTTATTTTATGCCAAAAATCATAAAGATCCATGATGTTCCATGAAAATATTTAGTAAATTCCCTACTGTAAATATATCAAAACTTAATTTTTGATTAGTAATATGCATTGCTAAGAACTTCATTTGGACAAATTTAAAGATGATTTTCTCAATATTTCGATTTTTTTGCACCCTCAGATTCCAGATTTTCAAATAGTTGTATCTCGACCAAATATTGTCAGATCCTAACAAACCATACATCAATGGAAAGATGATTTATTCAGCTTTCAGATGATGCATAAATCTCAATTTCGAAAAATTGACACTTAAGACAGGTTTTGTGCTCCAGGGTCACATTTGTAAAATGTAATATTTTAAACATTGCTGTTTATCAATGGTGACACCAACAGATGTAACAGACTAGAACTTCATCTTCATGGTGCCAACAGAAAGGTTTTTACTTTAAGGTCACGGTGACATTCCTGCGTGTCCTGTAACTGCCTCAGCATGTTAATGATTATAACATAATAAAAGTGAATATAGCAGGATATGGGTGTGAGAGATAGAGGGTTTACGGATTAGAGGGGTATTATGTGTCTGTATGTGACCTGGCAGAGAGTCAGAGTAAAAGCAGCGTCACATATCTGAAGAAGCACAGAGCTGATAAATCTCATTTCACAGATAGTCCAGCAGTTGTGAGTTTAAGCTATTCAAATGCAGCCACAATATTTTCTTCATAGACTTCATTTGAGATGTATTATATGAAATGTTACAGGCTTAATACAGGTTGAGCTCTAGTACCACAGAAAATAAGGTCAATGCTAGGCCCCTCAGTTTGTAAAAACATAATCATGCATGAGACCAGACAAAAATCACTTACTGGCATTAGTTTTTATCTAATATTTAATAACTCCTGTTATGAAACTGGTCAATCTGGTAACTTTATATGCACAAGGATATCAGAAAGCGACTGTTCAAACAGAAAAGTCCAAACATAATATGTACGTCTGTAACCGCTTGTGAAATAGAAGTACACTTCAGCATATTTCTAAAAAGAGTACTTGTTACTGACATAATATACTAAACTGAGTGTAATGTTTTTGTACATTTAACTGTGTGTTATTTGCAATTAAATGAAAATGTATTATAGTTTAAATTGATATTAAATGCAGTTAGTTGAACTTTAGAGTGGTGCCTGACCCACTTAAATAGGACTTAAATGCATCTTTATTTGTAATTTCATAATTACCTCGATTGTCTTTGAAATATAGTTAAAGTATACTGCTGAACGTACTGAGATGTATTTATAGTAAACTGTTATGTGTTTAAATATATATGCATTTACAGATTTATAATGCCGAAGTTGCAATTTAGTACTGTATTAAGTAATTAATATTTAATAATACACTATTGTTCAAATTACCACGACCATTGCGGCGTCTGAAGACATTTTTCATGCATTCATTAAAAGTTGTAGATCCTTCACAATCTCTATTTACTTTGCTCTTTGCACATAAAAGATTTCAACAACATAGCTTCATTTATTGCACACTTTTATCATTTTGCAAACAGATCTTCACAGTAACGATGCCTAAGAGAGGAAAAGAAAACGGAAGCAATTTTTTTTTTGCTCCAAAAACAGCCTCTTGGATCAATATATCATATTTACAGATATGTACAGAAACACTGAGAGTATTGGGAACATTTTTGAGTCCGTTTGGCTAATAGAAGCCTTGACCATCCCATAATTACTTACTGCCAATAAAAAACCACACCTTTGAGTCTTATATAGTTTAACACCTAAAAAGTCCGTTTGTGAATAATCCCAAAACATTCAAGTTTCTTGAGCATTGCACAGGCACTGGGGTTAAACACAAAACACACATGTGGCCCCACACTTTACACAGAGCAGCCAGACTATCATCAAATCATCTTTACAATGTCTGTGAGGAACAGGGACTTCATTTAAAGCCCCCCCCCAAAAGACCTAAAACCCCAATAAGATTTCCTCACAAATGAACTCACTCTTAAAAAATAGCAATGTGAGCTTTTAACATACAACACATGACTGTCTACTTCAAAAAGGTTCATTTAGCAACCAACTAAAACTTCTTTAAAGTGTGATGGCATGAATATGAGTGAATGAACGAGACTGGAAGTGGCAACCACCACTGCTAGAAAGATTAAAGGCACTCTATTGCCTTTTTGGCCATAGTTTACACAATACAAAAGAAGCTTAAAACATGTTTAATGACTTTTGTTGAAAGGTCAGTATATGTGACTAACGCCGAAAAACTGAACAAAACAGTGGGAAGGAAATAATCTCATATTATAAAAAAAATCAATCACCATTACACCATGTCCTAACCACAAGTAATCAGTGCTGGATTCATGAATGATTCTTAAGACTAATGTTTTTCTTCTTATTTTGTAACCTAAGAAAAAAAGTAAGAACGTTTTACAGTCAAAAACACATTTTTTTAAAAAGATTTTTCTACAGGCAAAACTTGAAGAATTTGAATTCCTGAAAAGAATATTTTAGTAACCATTGTAAATAACCCTCTATTTAGGATAACCGCCATATGATCTTAAATCCCCAAAGGCAAGATGTGTAACAAATTTACTGGGTTGTTTCAAATATTAAGCAATATTAAGAAATATCTTATAATATCCATATAAGACAGCACTGATTGATAAACAATGTTCGGTCGTGATTATGTGTGCATGACTTTTTATTGAATTCCAAATTCAGTAACAACTCTACAAAAAGTACTCAAATAGGGAACTCATTTTTATTAGTAATTGATTGACATTATTTCTTCAGATTATTTTCATGAATCCGGCCCCAGAACACACATGCATTCTATTCAACTCGGAAAGTCAAAACTTATTTTGGAAAAGTGCAATGGAACTTAAAAGGATAGTTCACCCAAAAATGAAAATTCTATCATTAATTACTCACTCTCATGTCGTTCCAAACCCGTAAGACCTTCATTCATCTTTGGAACACAAATTAAGATATTTTTGATGACATCCGAGAGCTTTCTGACCTTCCATAGACAGCAAAGGTACTACCACGTTCAAAGCCCAGAAACATATGGACATTATTCAAAATTACGGTTGAACCACTGATGACTCATGGACTATTTTAACAATGTCCTTAATACCTTTTTGGGCCTTGAATGTGGTAGTTACCTTGCTGTCTATGCAGGGTCAGAAAGCTTTCGGATTTCATCAAAAAATATCTTAATTTGTGTTCTGAAGATGAACGAAGGTCTTGCGGGTTTGGAACGACATGAGAGTGAGTAATTAATGACAGAATTTTCATTTTTGGGTGAACTATCCCTTTAAGGAGATTTGTGTATAGTAGATTAGGGTGTATGATCACACAAAAATTGCGGCACACAGGGAGATGTAAAACAGGTGTGTAAAACACTGTGATTGATCCTCTCTGGTAATAATCACAGAACAGTAAATGCTTGCACTGGTGGCCATCATGTAACCATGGAACACCTGCAAAGCTAACAAGAGCATTTGGTTTTCTATGTCATGTTCTGAACACTGAACAATGAAACGGATGAGAGATCAGATCCCACTTCTGACTGAATGGAGCGCAACATAATACACAATTATGGGAAGCAGGATTTCGGACCAGTGAAAGTTCACTGTTGGAAACTCCAGAAACAGGATTTGACTCCTCTGGTCTCGTTGGTCAGCTGGTTAGGACAAAAACTCTTTTTTAACATGAAAGAACGTTGCTTGTTGTTTCCTCTTAGGACACGGTGTCAGTTCCCCTACACATCCTATTGGTTTGTTTAATTCCCTCGAGCCTGTGCCCTACTCTATAATTAAGCACTGAAATCACTCCACCAGCGGAGACATGAGAAACCTGCAGCGTGAAGTACAACTAACATCATTATGAACTTACACTAGCATAGCATCAGCCGATCCTTAAGGTTCTCATTAAGAGAAAGCAGGTGTATTCAGCATGAGGCCTGAGATGGGAAACACTGACTGTGGGCACAGGAACCAATCAGCGTGATTCTCTCGTTCTCCGCGGAGACGTTTAAACACGTGCTTCACCGCTGAATAACCTCAAATGAAGCGCACACTTCACCTCTGAATTTCCCTAAGTGAAATAACAAATGAGCCGAATCTGACACGATGACTGAAGGCGATGACTGGTAGGAAATTATGTTGAATTGTGAACGCACAGGGAAGGATGTGTTTAAGCGTCCTCGCACAGTAGTACTATTACTATTAAAGCTCGTTTACGTGCCCTTATGTCGAAGACCTTCATGAGCACAGTAAATAACAGTTGTGTATTTAAATATATACTGTAGATCGGAGTACCAAAACCACAATCAAATCTGTTCCAACTTTTGGTTCCAACTCTTCTGTACACTCGCCAACTCGAAATATGCAAATGTCATAAATGATATCAGCAGACTTGTCGAACAAACCAGGTTGCAACAGAAAAGTCTATAGTGCAGCTCCGAGCACAGCTCAAACACAAGCCATCCAGAAACAACTCCTTCATCCCAGAGTTCCTCTGATAGCTGTGTCAGCTGCGTCACATATGATAGGGTGGCTCCTCAGAGGCATTGGTGGTGTGGAATTCACTGAATTCAGAGTGTGACTCGAGCACAAGCCTCAGTGGGGCTCATGGTGGGGAATTGACTGGAGGGAACACTACCTCCCTCTATGCGCCTGGTGGTGGTGCGAGGAGGGCTGTCCCTCCAGGTCGTTCTCCACCACTGATAAGAAGCCTTCTTTCTCCGCGCAGTCGGCCAGCACCTTGAGCACCAGGCGCAGGCGGCGGTCCATGGCCTCCAAGTGGGGCCGGATGAGTATGGGTGCCAACTGGTCCTGCAGTAGCGATTCCTCCATTAGAGAGCTCAGCTTGAACTCCTCTTTAGCCAACAGCTGTAGCCGCAGGTACGTCGACCTCTTCACTCTGAGAGAGAGAACGGTAGAAGGTATAACTCCGCATCAGCTGATCTGTTTAGTATACAGAGCTCTATGAAAATACAGGCGGAATTGTAAAATCCATTTACTGGATTTATTTTAAACGAGTGCCAAATGAGCATTTTTAGAACAGTGTGTTGTTCGCGAGATTCTGCGAAAGACACAAGGCGCGAGTGCAACGGGCAAATGTCTAGCGAATGTTTACATAGAAAAACAATGTAAAAGTAGTGCAGTGGAATGCAAAACGTGTTTTGTGTGAATGGCCCCTTAGAATAGCAAAATTAGCCACATTCAGAATGTTAGCAACAAAGTGGTGTGTACTATGACCAGCGTGCAGAATTATGCAAATTGGGACACAGTCAGTGTTTTTTGCAACCATTCATATAGATTGTTCTAGCAAGAATAACATCAGCCACAGGAAATAAATGTAAATGTGCAATAAAGGATACAGCTAGAATAACAGAGCACAGCAGACAGCAGGATGTGGTTGTGTTGGTGCTATACTGAATTACTGCACTGCAGTCACTCTCCCAGTTGGGAGGCTATTGCCTCAATTCAAGAGATGTCTGAAAGTGGAGAAAAACAATCTCACCTGCAGCACTGAGTCAAAGGGACCAGGATGGACATTTCATCATGTGAATGCTTTCCAAATCTGAGGGGTTAGAGAGAAACAGAAGTCAAAAAGTCTGATATTTTTAAATGGTTCTCTTGTGAAAAAGTGTGCTTAATTGTATTGAATGTGCACTTTTAGCGTATTTCAAATCTTAAAAGCATATTTATTTAAAAAACTACTTGCAGATAATGTAATATTAATGAAATAAAAGGCCACTTAAGTACACTTAGGGTGTACTCACACTATGCGTTTTGAACCGGTTCGTTTAGCCGTCCCTGGCCTGGTTGGAAGAGGTGGGCCAGGGCACGGTTCGGTTGGGCTCGGGCTTGGTATGCATGCATAGTGAGCGCTCAGCGTTCCGGAGCACGGAACAGATACTATTTTGTGTGCGCTACTGCCATCATTACGACCGCAAACATATACTATTACTACTACTATATATAATCACGCTCGGTTCAAGGCAACCGTGCCTAGTGTGAGTACACCCTTAAAGAGAGACACTTCCATGTCTCCGAGCGCTCCTCCCGCAATGATAAAATATTGGGGAGTTACTCGTTCAGTGGCCAGATTAAAGCTGGATTGGCTACAGGAGCAAGAGACCCCCAAACGGTCCAAACTAGATGACAGGTTTCTGTCAGGGGCTCAGGGGGAGGGACCTCAGCGATGGTATCTCCCCTTATTTGGTGTTCTCCATGATGAGGTAACTAGTTCATGGAGTAAGCAATATTCGTCCCGTGTCTTTGTGCCCTCAACGACAATTTATTTGACTATCGTGGATGCAAAGGCAAGGGGCTACATGATGATGCCCCAGGAGGAAGAGACGCAAGCAGACTATCTCCCCCCTGCAGTTGCGTCATCACTCAAAAAGCCAATGCTCTTTACCAAGCCATGTAGAGCAACATCTATGGGGATGCGTTTCAGGCAGAGGGTAAGGCTGGTGCTGCCCTGCACACCATGGCGGTTCTGCAGGCATACCAGGCCGACCTGTTAAAGGATCTGAGCGTGAGCGGGGATATTGAGGAGGAAGCATTTTTAGAACTTCGCTGAGCCACAGGTATGACACACCATACAGACCCAGTTCCCTGTCAAGTTGTTTCAGTGCTGGAGTTCCTGCAGGAGAAAATAAATGTCCCCAGGTACATGTCCTGGTACTCTCAGAGTCTATGAGGCCACCAGTTCAGCTTGCCACGCTCTGATTGACGGGGTCTCTGTGGGAGATCACCCTTCATAGTCGCACGCTTCATTCGAGGAGCTAAGCGGTTGAAGCCGCCCACCAGAGCGACAGTCTCATCGTGGGACTTAGCTGTAGTGCATGAGGGTCTGGTTGGGACCTCTTTTGAACCACTAGAGTCAGCGCCTGTCAGGCTTCTGACTCTGAAGATTTTCTTTTTTTCATGGCTATTAGTACTCTAAAAAGAATTGGGGATTTGCAAGCTTTGTTAGTCTCACCATCCTCCTTAGACTTGCCAGTCCATGCTCTTCAGATTTAAGTCCACCGAACCAGCCAGTGGCGTAAGTCGGGGAAGCTTTTCAAATGCTATGGGGGCCGCAACCAGGGGGCGGTTGTCACATTTCCCTTGCCTATGAGGCACGCGGTCAAGCTTTGCCTCTAGGAGTTCATTCAACCAGGGGGAGTTGCATCCCCTAAGGCACTAGCAAGAGTTGTCCCCTTGCAGCAAGTGTGTGGTATGTGGCAGGCAAGTCCTCCCCGCACACGTTCATCAGATTCTATAGTTTGGATGTCCATGCTACTCCGGGCCCACATGTCTTTGAGCCACTTCCCAAAGTCATTTCTGAGACCTCTGCAATGTTTGTGCGCACACACTACACAAGGTGTGTCCATTTCACGTCTATTTATAACCTCTCAGGTGCACGCATTCCAATGATGTCACCGACCGAGGTTATTTAAGCCAATTCTTGGCGTGTTTGACACACATGCTTCACAACCGGTCGGAAAAAGAATGTTCTCATAAGCATTAATGAAACGCAGCATCTCGTTCCCACTTTTTCAGGGAACAGGGTTACAGTCAAGTAACCCGAGACGTACACTTTAACCATATTTCAAAAGAAGTAATTATGTAATTACATATAAAGATGTACCTCAGTCCTACTTAGATGGCTCAAAAAGTTAAGCTAATATACATTTAAAATATAATACATTTTCAATTAATTGCAATTAACATGCAAATAAGTGTCCAATATTGCATTAAATTCACAATTCAGTATATTATTTTAAAGTATATAATTACCATATTAAATAATGCTAAAGTGTACTTTGTTTTTACTAGGGTAAAGATACTAAAACTCTCAACAACCATTTCCAGCATACTTGTAGTGTGATATGCAGTCTCTATAAACTTATTTAAACTTTACCAGACATAAAAGTTAGAACATGAAGAACTCACCAAATTGTACATTCAGGTCTTTATTAAAGACGAAATAAAACCCAGCTCATAACATGGAAACTTAAGTCACTTTTTGTTGTTATACATTCATCTTGCGCTATTACTTTCATATTGGTATGTCAAATTGCACAGCACTTTACTGCCGTGGTTCAGTGGGGCTGAAATATGTTTTTGAAAGCCATATCTTGCCATTTACTGTTATATTTTTATTTATAAATTATAATAAAATATATTATTTTGGTGACGCTTTAGAATTTAGTTGACACCTTGCAACATATTTGCAGCAGTAAAACCCCATCAGAAATTCAGTTCAGTATAAATTTAACACAAATAGAAGAAAATACATGTAAATTTTAGTCGGGCCTTAGATTAATCTGGCACTGAGAGACCTATGGCGTTTCACAGTGGCCCACTTCTCTACATAAAAAATGTAGAGAATGAAAAAGCAGCCACTTCAGCCGAGCAGAATGTCAGTTTAATCAAGATGCTTTATCTGTGTGAGCACCTGTGTGACTTCTACCCACTGTGAGCCCTTCAACAGCACACATATTACACCCCGAGACACGACGCCATATCAATCTGACCTTCCACTCAACATCTACATATTCCCGTCTTATAAGATAGAAACACTCTGTTTCCATGGTTTCGGTGTAAAAAGGAAGTGGCTGTGGAGTCATGTGGAGCTTTGAGGAGTGAGGTGTGAAGGACGGAGGGGACGTTATACGATAATAAAAATGGCTTACCCTCTGCCGTTGTCCAAATGAATAATGAAAGTCTCATTTCCAAACTTCTCAAAAGTCTCGTAATGGTGGCGATCCATGTTGCCTGTTCAGTGTGAAAATGGAGAGAGGGAGAGTGAAATACAGGAGGATTGATGTGGGATGTTGAACTTATAACTCTTTTATTCTTTAGTAATGATAAAAGGTAGTCTATCGCTCCTTTAAGTTAAGTTATATTCAACAGATTCCAATTCTGCAGTTGATCATTTTAGTCGTCTTCATGACTAATCAGTTAACACTTGAATCAGAATCTTTATTTATCCACACACAACCAGGGCTGGAGGAGTTGGTTTCCATGGTGTTCACACAATGGGCCTCATTCATGAAACATTCGTAAATATAGGAGTAAATTCGGAGTAATTTGCGTGTAAAACGGACCTTCCCGAAAACTCTCCTCCGGATTCACAAACACTTCGTACACATCAGATTTGATAGTTAAACGTGTGTATGTTAATGAATTCCAATCATTCATAAATAGGGCGTTCATTAGCATAATCCCCGCCTATGAATTACAGCTACGTAAATTGCATGTCCAGGAATGCAGTGGAATATTCTGGTCTACTTTCTCAGGTTTGGCTCCAGTATATTGCATAAATGCAAAAAACACTAATAGGCCATATGCCTAACAATAAATATTCAATAACGTGTGTCCACCAAAGCGTTTTTAGCCAGCTGAAAAACTGTCAGGCGCTCTTCTTAAAACGGCCAGTTGGTGGTGCTGGAGAACACTTTGGTGGCACAGCGTTTTTCTAGCTGAGAGACGCTTTGGTTAGAGGTCTGCATTCGGCCCTCAGACAGAACAGGCAGGTTGTCGAAGAGTGATAGAGCAGAATAAGAATGGAGCAAAGTGTGGATGTGCTGTTCTTGAAGGACGTTCAACTCGGTTTTGTTTATATTTTGTTTGGCCTATAATTTTAAATGAAAGATGTCGTATTTATTTATTTTTCTCTGTGACACTTTTCCTACTGTGTTAACAGAAAATGTCAAACTAATTTAGTATTTTGACAAACGGGACTAAAAAAACAGTCCCGCGCAGACCTCTACTTTGGTTGCTATGATTTGAAATATCCACGGCAGTAACGTATTACTAGTATCTAATTTTGAAGAATATTACTGAATATAAAAATGCAGTAACCAGCAATATTAACTTCTCTATTGTTGTTCAGTTGTTGTACAAGTAGGATGATTGGTCGCAGTAACGTATTACTAGTATCTAATTTTGAAGAATATTACTGAATATAAAAATGCAGTAACCAGCAATATTAACTTCTCTATTGTTGTTCAGTTGTTGTACAAGTAGGATGATTGGTCGATTGTCCCGCCCCTCCTCCGTTGATTGGACGGCTGGGTAAAAAAAACGCGCAAACGAACTTATTATAATGGCAGTGCTCCCGTGGTAGGGAGCAGGTGTAAATTTCTTTCCTACCAACTAACATTTTGAAAATACGAACATTTTCATGAATTCGAAAGTTTACGTCAGAACGACTTTACGAACGATTTACACAAAAATCCGTTCTGCTCGTGTTTCATGAATGAGGCCCAATGTCCTTACAGAAAAGCACCATGAACTTCTGCTGAACAGGGGCAATTCCCCCAGATCAACCCGAGGTTAACAGCCTCGCTCAAGGGCACACGGCTCATGAACGGATCAAAACACTCTCAACCTCAGAGACCACCCACAGTCTGCTCATAAACTCACAATTGAGACTTTCTATATTGCAATTGTGACTTTATTGAAATTGAGACTTTATACTTTACATAATTGTGACTTTATATCTCTGTATTTATATCTCAAAACTGTGACTTTATTTCTCAGATCGGAGTCTTTATACTTCTAGTTGTGACCTTATATTTTGCAGTGTGACCTTTATCACAATGTGACTATACTGTTTTAATCCCACAATGTGACTTTATATCTTTTACTGTATATCTCCCAACAGTGACTTCTGTGCAATTCAACCTTTTTTTTTATCTCACAATGTAACTTTTTAATATACGTGTGACTGTTTCTTGTAATTGTGACTTTGTATTTCCCAATTGTCTTTTATCTTGCAATGTGACTTTATATTTCACAGTGATTTATTTTATTTCTTGTAATGTGACTGTATATCTCCCAAATGACTTTCTCACAATACAACTTTTTTATTTATTTCTTCCTCAGTGTGACTTTATATCTTCCTATTGTGACTTATATCTCAAAATTGTGACTTTATTTCTAGAAATTGACTTTGTATCTCCTAGCTGTGACTTATAGCTTGCTGTGTGACTTTTTATCGCACAATGTGTTTCTTAAATTTGCAACTGTATATCTCCCTATTGTGACTATATATATCTCAAAATTGTGACTTTATTTCTCGAAATTAAAACTTTATATCTCCCAGTTGTGACTTTATATCTCACAGCGTGACACATCTTACAATGTGACTTTATATCTGCCAGATGTGTTTATCTTGCAATGCGACTTTATATCTCACAGTGACTTTTTTTTAAAACCTTGCAATGCAACTTTATTTGCTTGCAATGTGATAGTATATCTCCCAACTGTGACTTTCTCACAATTCGACTTCATCTCACAATGTAACTGTATATCTCCTAAATTTGACAGTTTTTAATCTCAAAATGTGATTTATTTATTATTGTTTTTTACCTCACATTGTGACTTTATATACACATATCACAGTGTGTCTATTTCTTATTTTTAAACTTGTATATCACAATGAACTATTTATTTTTTACACTAAGGCAAAAACGGGCTTTCATAGTTCATTGGCCATATTAAGCAATGTGATTGGCTGGCTAATGCACAGAATGCACAGGTTTTTATCAATTGCCACTATAGGGGCATGTTGTCACAAAAGTTGTGTCCAGTGAACTGTCTCTCTTTCTTGGTCAATAATGGAAGACTTCACGAGTCTACACAAACATTTAATTAAAAAATGCAAAAATGTAAAAATAAATTTACACCGAAAAATACGTATGGGAGTAAAAAGTAATTTTCTACCCAGTTTCCCCTATTTCTAAGCAAAATTTTATAAACACTTTCAACACTTACCCATTAGAAAGTCAAAAATAGTCATGTCCATGATGTCCAGAAGTCGTGTGCCACGGTCATACGGAGGAGTCTGTTTGACTTCATCACAATAATCCGGATCCACTTCCCACCTTACAAAAGAGAAAACAGCTAAGAAACTCTCTTCACCTTTAAATTTGAGCTGCATTTTGCCCCTTCTCATATATAACCCTACTAGCGTACAACTGCCATCTCAAACAGGATGGCCCATTGTTTTACTGCACAGATAGGATTTCTCTGAGAGTAAGTGAGAACCGCAGTAGTCTTTTTTGCTGATAAAGCCAGACTGTAGTTTAATGAAGATATGGGGTGATGCGTGGAGACCCGAGATAACGCGGAGAAAAAGAGCTTACTCAGCTTTCTTGCGTTTGTGGTAGGAGCGGCGCCAGGGGTTCCTCCAGGTCTTGCGCTTAGCTAGTGTCAAGTCAGGAAGAAATGCAGCCAAGGAGCCCTCGATCTGGTCGGGCTTCCCACATAGGGCATGCTCTGTGGAGCAGTAGTAGGAGCACTCGCCGTAGAAGCAGATGTTGTTGGCTGCAGGAGTGAGGAAGAAAGGGTCTCAGGAAAGAGAAAACTGTTCTTGGAGGTTTTAAAATAGACCACCAGTGAGACAAAGAGAAAGGAAAAGTCCCTCCGGAGTAACATGGGGTTAAGTGTCTTCCAGTACACAATGGTAATAGCTCATTGATTGCCTATTACAGGGTTTTAACCTACAACCTTTCGGACTCCCCAGATATTTAACCCAAGTTTTATATAATGCGAAGCAGCTGTTTTCCACTGATGCATCAATTTGTAATTTATAAATAATTATATCTTTTGGTATGCGTCCATCAAGTTTAAAAATAAAATAAAATGCGTCCATCAAGTAAAAAAATAAAATAAAAATTTATCAAGAATTATTATTATGTGATACATACCATTACCATGTTGTTAAGTATATACTGTAAGCACAAAAGACTCAAAATAGTAAAACACCCCTCAAATTTTAAAATTATATTCAACTAAACTGTGCTTAGAGATAATTGAATACTATTGAAATAAAAGGGCACTTAAGTGTAATTAAATGAGATACACTTTCATAACTATGTTTCTTAACATACTTAAAGTATCTTACAGTTGCATACTCACAATACTTTTAAAAAGTACACTTTGTAATAATGTCAAATTACAAGTTTTACTTTAAAGTACATTTTAAATCATTATGTTTAATAATCTTTTGTCTTGCTACGCTTATTTTGATGTTGACTGACATACTAAAGCACATGTAAAGTACTTGATTATAAATGATTTAAATACACGACATACAAGGTTCAATAGAAATGACATTAAAGTATATTTTAGTTTATGATAAGTGCTTGTCAGTACATTCAGGAGTACACTTTAACCATGTTTCAATGCACGATTAAAGTAATTATGAAGAAGTCCTACTTAAGTGGGTTAAAAGCACTCTAAAGTTCAGTTTTGCATTTAACATAAATTGAAACTATAATAAATATTCAGTTAATTGTAAATAACATGCAATTAAATGTCCGAAAGCAGCCTTTTTCAGTAATAGCCGCACAAATGTATCTTTGTGGCAGGAAAAAGAGTTAACACATATACCGTTATACCGACAAGCCCTGGCCGTAAACACATTTTAAAGCAACAACATGCTAACTATGACAATCTTTTGTGAAGCAGCCTTGTTTATAGAGTTAATACAGATTGTAGAATATGCTTTTGAAATAGGTGACTTCTCCAGATGTGTCTTGATGTGATGAAGCCCTGTTGAAAAAACCAGCATATGCTGGTTAAGTATGTTTTGACGCTGGGATGCTGGTTTAAGCTGGTCCTTTGCTGGTTTATGCTGGTCCTTTGCTGGTTTAAGCTGGTCCTTTTACTGGTTTATGCTGGTCATGTGCTGGCAAAGGACCAGCATAAACCAGCATCCCAGCGTCAAAACATACCTAACCAGCATATGCTGGTTTTTTCAACAGGGAGGATGTCAGTGATCTAAAATGGTCAGATTCACCAAGGGCTCATTAAACACTGCTGTTTAGCCAATGATGAATCTTTGTGTATAACGCCTTTTCCAAATGCTTCCTGACACGGCTCCCCGGGGGAAGAGGAGCCCTTTCACTCGTTCCCACAAAAACACATTTGTCATGAAAAGTGGCGGCAGAATGCTAATGATAGCCCTGCAGAGAAAGAATATGGCCAATCTGTGTGCCTCATCCCAACGCTTACATCATCTAAATGTCGGTAATTTAGTTGCCAAACTTGCTGCACGTGTGTTATTGCATGCTTGTTACTCCCCAATTAAGAGCTGTAATTAGCCTAGCATATTGGCTAGGTGTTGTAAGCTGGTCTACGGTTGGTCTACTGCATGCTTTTTGTGCTAATATTTACTTAGTTTGACGGTTCTTTATGGACTTAGAAAAGGAATAAGCAGTCAGAAATACATATAGCAAGATGCTAACATGGCCGTATGTAAACTATGCAACACTTGCTAAATGCTAACACTTCTAAACCACATAGGCACAGTGAAGTTTGTCATGAAACTGAATGGCTGTCTTCATTCACAGAAACGTGGATTTTCCCATTGTTTGAACTCTATATGCGTGAGAAGCCAACAATCAGAAGGGCTGATGGGATAGAAGAAAAGGCTGTGTGGAAGCCACTCATACCTGGGGATACGAAGAATGTCCGCCAGAGCTTTTTGTCACGGGTCACGTCTCGGATCTCCCGTGTCATGTTCACCAGCCTGCCGGCCACCGGGGGAACTCTCCGGAAATCCAGGATTCTGTACGCCACAAACAAGCGACATTGTCAAATGATTTATTTGCAATGCATTATCAGATGCAGCACCTGTGGTGTTTCTTCATGCATACGTTGCACAGTTCACAGACTGCTTTATGGGAACAGTGACACCAGCCATTCAATCTCCTGCCGCATTCAATAATGAAGAAGTAACAATAAAGAGTGCAGAAAATCCATAGAATAAAGCCATTTTTTAAAGTGGCTTGGTAACGATTTTTTCTTCAAGGTGCTACTGCTAAGCAACTGAGCCCGCTCTTTACTCCCTGGCTTTATGAGACCTCCGTGAATGCTCTTTATTAGACTTTTATTGGCATTTTAGCATCTGGCCACACACACCACAGGATATAAATGGCCTCTAGTTTCTCTCATTTCTTGTGTACTTGTGTTGGGCAAAATCCGAATTTGTCTCCTTTTCAATTATGTGTGATTTTTTAATTAAACACGCCTCACAAGAAGTTTTCAAGAATTTGAACGATAGAGAGAGGAATTTACAGAATGCAATTTTAAGAAATTCAAAACATGATGTCCAATAAAACCCACAAACTTGCATTATTAATTTGAAAAAAAAAAAAAAGTGGTTTTTATCCCTTAACATGTAGAATAACATGTTTTACTAAATTACAAGACATACTTACAAATTAAATATAAATGTAGAATATTTATTATCCTCTCTCTATGCCTCCCACTCACGTCATTACGCCGCCACACGCTTGCGTCATGATACTGTCGTGTACGCGCGTCCACAAGTTATGCAGTAGAGACGAAAATATGGAATAAAGTCGTTATTTTTGTTTTCTTTGCGCAAAAAAGTATTCTCGTAGCTTCGTAACTTTACAGTTGAACCACTGATGTCACACGGACTACTTTGTCGATCATCTTGGTACTTTTCTGGACCTTGAACGTGGTAGTTACCTTGCTGTCTATGGGAGGGTCAGAGAGCCCTCAGATTCCATCAAAAATATCTTAAATTGTGTTCCGAAGATGAACGAAGGTCTTACGGGTTTCGAACGACACGAGGGTGAGTAATTAATGACAGAATTTTCATTTTTGGGTGAACTAACCCTTTAATCTCTCAGTCTTTGTCTGTGTGTGCAGTGGGCCGTCGCGGAGAAAATCCCGCATCGTGTGGTGCGAGAGCTTTCAACATTAAACCTCCAAAGACTCATGGGGCTCCTGGGCCCTGAGAGACAGAAACCCAAGCCTTTGAGATGAAACCACTCAGGGGTCGCAAGTTGCCGAGTCACTCTGGATGCGGGTGACAAAGAGCCCAGTGTGGAAACACTGCATTCTAGGAACATTCTGTCGGACGTTTGTGGAAATAAGAAGCGGAAGCTGCCAGTGGAGGAGGTTTCCATTGAAGGTGAGCGTACTGTAGCAGCACAACGTTTCTTGTAAAATGCCGTTATTTCCACATGCTCTCACACTAATCGAATATCAATATCCATTTCACTAGCAAACATCCTCTCAGTGTTATCACTCAGCTGACAATGAATTGACATATACCATGCTTTTTCCTCCCCTAAATAAAATACATCATGGATATGACAGGCACCTCAAATGAGAGCAACAACATTCAGGAGGAAATCGAGTGGGTCTCACAAGCTCAATTAGCTCTCTGACTCCACAAAGCCTTTCTCTGTGGGGCTTCTTGTTAAAGTCAGCAGGGAGTTTCTTCTGACTTCTGACTGCACTCACATGCACCTTGTTACTTTCTGAGTAACTGTAAGGTGTATCGACTCTATCGCACTAAGTGCTTTTCAGGCCGTTGTCCAGAAGTCTTGAGTGACATGCGCAGAGCGGCGAGAATATAATAAGAGTTGGTTTGGCTTTCTGACATCACAATGGCGCGGGCGCGAGCGCTCTCGTGCGTAAATGTGAAATGTGGAGGTGTGTGGATATGGTTTCTTTTTCCCAGCCAACATCCATTCCAGAGCAGTATCATAGCACTACAGGTGTTTTCAGTGAAAGAACTGTGAGGAATCCAAGCTAAAGGTCTCTGTAAGGGGAATTTCCTCTTAAAGGCTACTGGGGTGGTTGACTGCGGTTTGGATGAGCGTCATGTAGGCAACCAGATTGTAAGAGTACCAGACTTGTTCGATTTAAACCATAAAACAATATTTTTTTAATAATGGACCTTTCTTAGAAACTTTTCTATTTATTGGTGGTGCGAAAAAAAAAAAAAAAAAATTCCAAATAAAAATTTAATTAAATTAAATTAAATTAAATAAAAAATAGAAAATAAATAATAAATAATAATACCAGTTTACAGCAAGGTTCCATTTGTTCCAGCATTAGTTAACTACATTAGTAAACATGAACTAACAAAGAAAAAAATATTCTAAAGTAATTACTATTGTAATTTCAGTATTTACTAATGCATTATTAAAATCCAAAGCTGCGTCATTGTCTGATATTATTTAATGGACCTGAGCTGACATGAGCTAACAACGAACAGTTATATTTTTATTGACTAACATTATCAAAGATTAATAAACACTGTAACAAATGAATTGCTCTGAAATGAACTGATGGGACCTTACTGTAAAGTGTTACCATAGTTATTAATAATAATAACATTTAACATAATAACATTTCCTTAAAAAGTAACTATAATTCTAAGAATAATGGGGGGGGGGGGTAATGATGACATTCTCAAATACATTGGCAATCTAATATTGTCTCTTCCAGCCTTATCATTTCTGTCAGACACCTTAAAACAAAATCCCAGACTTGTCATATCTAAACACCTCCAAACATTTCTGTCAAATGAAGATAAAGGCCGAGTAAACACAAAGTAAGCACAGTGGGATGCTAAGCATAAACTCTTGGCAATGCTTAATGTCACATGATCTCATTGTTATTCAGATGGTCTCTGCAATAGACAAACATACAATAAAATAAGCAATACAGCTAACAAAAACCAGAAACATCTTGCCCGAAACTCTCACACTGGCCACTGGGCCGTCCTTCAGAGCCCTTCAGATAACTCTCTCCTTCTCTCTGTGTTTTACTCTTACCTGTCCAGATGAAATGCAGCGATCTCTGCGTTGTGTCGCTCAAAGTCAGAGAAGTAGAAGAAGTCTGGGGGTGTCTCTTGTTCCCTGGTTTGTCTAGAGTACAGAGTAGAAAAAAACAAGATTGATGTTAGCTAGTGCTTGTTAGACAGTGAGCTGCTGGCAGAAACAGAGGTACAGTGAGCACACAAAGTACAGCAGAAATGTTCGTTTTAAACCTAATAGTCTCAGAATGCAATAAAAGAGTATTGCTTATGCTGTAGTATAACTTCATACTCGACAGTATGTGAAACGCTATTCAACATTACAGATTTCAAAGAGTAGTATGCAACATTGCCGTCATATAACCACACCGTACATGTTCAACAGGAAATAAATGCACACATTTTGCATTTATAATAACATTTTTTGTAAAACTATTCCAACTTTTAGCAGTCGAATCAAATCAGAAGTATGAAATATGTATGTACCTGCATGTATAAAATATGTTTAAAATCATAGTTGGCATTGCTTCCAGGTCATTAACCACCTTGCCTATATTTAGAATAACATACTACCATAATACACTTGCTATTTATGCATTATGCAGTAGGCTATCTGCATATATTCTGCGTGAATAAAACAGCTGGGTGACCTAGAACTGTACATTTGCCATACTATTTAATATAATGCGGATACTGTATCCCACCGTGCAGCTTTTTCTTGACTATTTATTTGGTCAGAAAGATAAATGTGAGTTTATTGTCTTAACATTTCATCTTTTATAATTTTAATCATAGTGTATTACATATTACAAATGTAAATGCATTTTTTTTGTCTTGACAATAAAGAGAGCTTAGCCTGCAACAAAAGATAGAAGGCCTCCAGCAGTCTGTTGTGTCTATGCTAGCTTCAGGTACACTGTAAAAAATGATTGTGATTTTAACAGTAAAATACTGTAAAAATGCTACAGTAAAAACCTGTTAACTGGTTACTTAACAGTAAGTTTCCATACTATATACGGTGAATAAATGTAATTACATTTAATGTGATTTTACAGTAAAATACTGTTAAAAATAAGGTTTTTGGAAGTGAAAAAGAAAAAGGCATTGTATAATTTACAGTGAAAAAACCAGTGAAAAACCGTAAATTGACACTCCCAGAATTCCCTGCTTGACACTTCATAGTTTCTTCTTAGTTTTTTCTCATCAGTTGTGTACACTAGGGTTTAATCTTACATCTAATGTTGTTAAATTAATGTTTATTGCATTATTTCAGTATCACGTGTGTCACCGTGATGGGGATTAGTGTTTGTGTGAATGACACTGTGTGCGCCTTCTATATATAAGTATTGCCCTCCTCAGCTCGTAGAAAAGCTGTTTGTGATGAGCTTTGGTTCAGCATGTGACTTTCTCATCACCACCAGTTTTTGGTAGTTATCAGTGCATTACAATGGTTCAAAACAGATATTAGTACTTCAATATGTTGGTTTATTAACATTACATCAGTTAATGAAATACGGTATTTTAATGTGAATTTAAGTTAAGTCTGTAAAACCTAAAATGTTGCTACCATATTTTTTACGGTGAAGTTCTGGCAACCACAGCTGCTGGTATTTTACTGTAAATGTCACAGATTTTTTTTTTTTTACAGTGTAGCTGTATTTACAAGCAGACATCCTGACACTATAGCGGACAACAAATAGACAACATGGACGTCTGCCGAATGGGCCGCATGGCTGGATCAGCAACTAAAGGAATGTGTGTGTGTGTGTGTGTGTGTGTACAGAACAGATTTTGGCAGGAAACAAACTGCAGGTGCATGTTCTCTCCACGTACCTATGCGTTCAGACAGACAGATCACAAGACTCAGACAGACAGGTGCAGGAAAAAAAGCCATAGAATCCAGACAGACATGCACTAAACCACTGATCTTGACTCTCAACCTCCTACAATGACATCAGTCTCAAACAGCTCATGGTATCTTTTACACGGTGCTTTCCTGAAGACAACTGTAAGATCTTTCCTGGAAGCGTTACGGAATGAGGTCAGAAAATGCTATGCTAGGCTAATGTTAGCTCAAAACACATCAGTTTGTAGGTGACTAACAAACAGAGGAAAATTGTATTGCTCAACGGTTCTCATAACTGAATGGGGTTTCATTTAAGTTTCAACTTTGTGTCTGCCAGCACTGATGTTTCTCCTCTGGAGAAGTTAAAATGAATTGACACAAATGAATTATTAACAGAGAATAACACTATAAAATGAATGTGGATATCATAACGCAGATCATTTGGTCTTAAAAGAATCTGATGAGAAATGTTTGAGCTCATTTTGAAATGTGAACTTTGGTCTCTTGGCAAGGTTTGAGCCATCGTTGAGATCTCTTGTGAAAAAAATGAAAATTGCTCGTGGTTTTTTTACGCAAGAGAATAAGCCATCTCAGTATTTTCTCATTGCTGTGGGAGTACCACTTGAGATATTAAAGGGGTCATATGATGTTGCTAAAAAGAACATTATTTTGTGTATTTGGTGTAACGTAATGTGTTTATGCGGTTTAAGGTTAAAAAAACACATTATTTTCCACATACTGTACATTATTGTTTCTCCTCTATGCCCCGCCTTTCTGAAACACTTAGATTTTTGCAAAACTCATCGTTCTGAAAAGCGAGGTGTGCTCTGATTGGCCAGCTATCAGTGTGTTGTGATTGGCTGAATACCTCAAGCATGTGACGGAAATGTTACGCCCCTACCATACTGTGATGCCCCTGTCAGGCCGGAGC